ATCAAGAGTTTTGATGGAGATCATGATGTTGAATCATATGTATTCATTAAATTCCATCCATAAGCATTTTTGCAGAGGGAATTTCAATTCTCATGAAGAATTTTTCCATGAATGACCAATGAAGATTGTACACATCCCAATTTCAGTATATCCCCACCATGATAATATAATAATGAAAGTAAATACATATGGTACTACCACTTTTGACTGTCCTTCATTCAGTGTTCATTATTTAACAAAAAATCAAAAATTAAGCGTCACCGATCACATACAAATTCTATCGTAAAATCGATTATCTTGCAGCATCTGTGATGAACATCATTTACTAATAAGAAACTACAAAGTTCATTATAGAGAATACCTCACTCCTGAAGTAGAGAAATTATTGATGATTGTTCATCATTGGCTGCCGATACATTCTTTTTTGCTTATGTTTTTAATTTTATGTGGTGGCCTGCAGAATGCCTCGCATCTGAATATCGGAGCGACCTGAACACGTTGGGTCGGCTGTATTTGAAAACCGATAGAGCTGGTAAGCTAACACTTTGCCAGCGCTTGTTGCACTCATATTACCATCCTTCATGTCTTGATCATCAGACAGATTTAGTTCATATAGTGAAAACCAAGGTATTTGCTGTATACAACTTTACTGTTCAATTTCGGGCAGTTTTGAACTCTTAAGGTTTATTAGCACACTTCGAGCGTATCCAATGTTTCAATCTTTCAGCATAAGAATGTGGGTATATACGCGGACGACAATGCTATAACGTACATTCTTTCGAAAGTTGTTGCTATAGGTTGTTTAAAAAATTTTCTCCGTTTCATAAGTCTACTTCAAACTTTAATATCATAGTGAATACTAATTCAATTCAATCGAAAAGAGCGCCATTTAAACCAGTGCACTTTTACCAGCGTAACACGCTATTTTCGTAGAGTGATTTGTAAAACGTGCGGACGGGAGTTGTCGTGGAGCATGATCGGATCTTTTCTGTGGACCAGTGCCGGCTGCTGCTGACGCAGTTTTTGGTACATTTTATCGATTCACCCACAATAGAACTCCGCTGTGATGATTTGGCCCAGCTGCAGAAAGTTATAGAGAATCACACCAGCTGCTGACCATCATACAGTAACCATGTTTTTTTGGGGTTTATGCGTTTGAAAAGTGCCTGGGTGGCTCCTTGGTGTCCAGTCACTGTCCTGAACATTTGTTGTCGTAGAGAACCCACATTTCATCACACGTGATGATCCGATCCAAAAACTGATAGTTTTGGTTGCATTTTCTGTCGATTGCGATTGGTCAAATCGTGGGGCACCCACATTTCCAGTTTTTTTTACCTTCCCAATACGTTTCAATTAATCAAAACCGCATGGGAGCTGACGGCCAGTTCTTTCGCCATTCCACGTTGGTGATGGGTCAGTCTCCACTAGGATCCTCAAATCCTCGTCCTGGAATACTGTCGGTCGACTACTTCAGGCTCACTTTCGATGTTAGAATCTCTGAAACGGAATGTCGCTAAACCAACTTAGAATAGTGCGTTCATTAACGCTATCAATGCCAAACGCCCGGTTAATTTTTCGGGCTGTTTCGGCAGCGCTTCGGTTCAATTTGAATTCGTGTAGGAAAATAGGCCGAAAATTGCTCAACGACATCACATACTGATGATTTGTTTGAAGGTGATTGACAATGTTTCATGATGAATTTCATTATTTCGGACTTCCATTGCCTGATATTATGTGATAACCTATGCTTGCGCTTCCCTACATCAGATGATTATCATAAAGGATAAGAAGAATTGGGTCCAAGTACAGCATTAGAACCTGCTTAAGATCAGGAAACACTATCCGTTGCAGCCTCACGAAAACCAGACCACCAAACGCGGACTGCGATTCCAAGAATTGCATTTACCGGATACTCTGTGAATGCGGAAAATTCTATATCGGTGAAACTAGGAGGCCATTGAATGTTTGCATTGCCGAGCACAAGAAACACACACAGCGAGGGGAAACCAGCAAATCAGGAATAGCAGACCAATGTTTGGACCCATCAACGTAACATCGAGTGGTCCCAAGCTGAAATCATACAGAGGGAGGAACATTGGTTTAGGAGGAAATTCAAAGAAACCGCATACATGTTATCTATCTCCTACTCAACCGGTAAAGCGGAGATAAGAGAAAGTTCTCGACCTACAAATAGTCATCTCTCGGAGGAATTAGTCCAGTCATCACTCGAAGACGATGACTAACGACAAAGATACTAACAATCGAAACGTCGTGAAGTAACTTGTCTTGGAATCTCTTAGTTTTTATTTTGATATTCTGTTCAATTGTTTTATTTTTATTTGTATTTTATTTCACTGTTATTCCATATTTTCAGCTATTTTTTTAGTTCTTTCAGGGATTTCAAATCATTTTATATATTATCAAACATGCGCCAAACAACTGAATGTTATAAGGAAACAAGTATATCTGAGGCACCAGTCAATTTAATAATAACAAGGATGATCTTCAAACAAGACTCAACTCTGACAGAAGCAAGAAACTCTTTCGAATGTTAGAAATAGATGAAGATTTCAATCTAGCAGACCACTATTATAATCTTCATGCAGTCATTGTTCACTGTGGTTCTGGCGTTGAATTTGGTCAATATTACGCCTTGGTCAAAGACGAAACGGACTAGTTTAAGTTTGACGATAGTCGTGTCATGAAGTGTTCTGGCGATCTATTGAATCTATTGGAGCCTCTGGAGATACTCTACATTTTGTTTTATGAGAGAGAGGACATTGGCAGATCAAGATCTTCAGATGATGTGGTGCTGCAGGTTTTTCCGCGATTTTATGCAGCTGAAAAAGCAAATGCGCCACTGGAATCAATGAAGTCGCCCCGGGGCGCCAATTAATTTTTATTGTTGTTTTTATTTTTATCAGACAATGGAAGTCCGAAATAATGAAATTCATATACTAATGAGCTGAAAAGGGGCAAAAAATCTAAATTTGAAAGAAAATGAACAACATCAATGTATAGAATACGAAATTATCTATCGATCAGTATATACCACGTCACAGTACAATAAATATTTATTAAGATATGGAGATACAAAAACATATGCCATCAAAACGGACAAAACTTTTCAAAAACCATAATAATGAGCATATTCAAACCCTTATCGGCTGGTCGAGTTCAGTCAGCTAAGATAGAGCTTGTAAACATTCCCAAGAAATTCACTAACGTAAAGACCTCTTAAACTTCTGCAATCAAAATATAATTCATGTATACAGACTGAAAAAGGAATCAGGATAAGGTGCTCCCTCCATATCGGCACTAATAGCGCTACCTGAAAGAATTCGACTGGTCGAAGTGAAGTCCATCATTCAAAGAACATCGAATGACCTACTATACTGAAGTTGCTTTGAGTGCGCAAAAAGTGCTTTGAGTACCTAATCATTAGTATTCTGTGCGTATTAGCTTTTGAGAAATGTTGGACTTGGAATTTTTCACTTCACATTCCCTACAATATGGATAAGGAGTCCATATAAAACCTATATCACAATATATTTGAGAAATGTAATTTATTCTGCAAATGATTACACGTTGCTCACATCAGTTCCATTTTCTTGTTGAAATTTTATCTGATAGTTTCTGGGTAGAGCTCTATTTTTGCTGGCCTAAGTTTCTGAGTATGTCTTATACATTCACTTGGTTTTTACTGTATGCGTGACGAAACTCTACCATCAATTTCATGGTATAGTATTATCACGTATGTCTGAATAATGCTGACTATTGTATTGTACTGCCAAAATTTCCTTTACTTGCTCGAGAATATTATTACTAGTTCATTCAGAATTGAAAAAAAAACACATGTTATCTTAAATTATTTCTTTCTCATTTTGAAATTTAAAATATAAAACAAAGTCGCAAAATTGTGTTACTTACATTATTCATAACTCCAGAACGGTTGGATCGATTATCATGACTTTTGATTTGTTGGATTTGTTCTCCCACAGAATAGCAGAATAACTATTGGAACATTGAAAAATGAAAGAAAAAAAATCTAATACATAAAACAAAGTCGCAAAATCATTTTAACTCAGTAAGGGCTGAACTGATTTTTATGATTTCTGAAATGTCTCCACCTGATTTGGAAAATTAAGTAGAGAAATTGAAGATTTAACGAATTAACGACGTTGGTTTTGTTAGGTTGTGCCAGTTTTCAAGATGCATTGTGGACTTCAAAGTCCGTCCTTCAATGATTTACATATCTTTATGATAAATTCATTATGAAGTTAATGGCTTCTTTCCTTTCGAAGTTTCTAACATTTTTTGAATGATGATAGAGAAGTAAAAAGCCGAAACTTTTTGCCAAGAGAGTATCTGTTGAAGTGTTATTAGGAGCAAACTGCTTTCCGAAAAACTACTTCATAATATAAACCACTGTCCACAAATGTGTAGGCGGAATTCATGAATACGACAAGTTACTATTAAAGTCATCGCACACTGCGACCTGCGACAGGACGGCAGAGGACGGGATGTGGCTTACGAGCGGAGACAGCACGGCATTGGCTTGGCCCGTCCTGTTCCCGTACTGGCATGTGCTCAGAAGGTCAGAAAGTCATCCTCGTTTCATTCAGGCTTGGAGTCCAGCTCCCCTACCCTTTTGGCTGATTATTGGTCTCAAGAGGGACCAATGGGTTCATGACTGATGGTATGACGGCATGAAGTCCTTAGACATCAGTGCCGCCCTTCACGGGATACCCCTACCTGGCTGGGGTGGGATGGATGAGAAAGTTGTTGATCCGTTAACGGGGGACATGAGGGCCTCATTCGACAGAGTGTCGGGGCCTTCTATATCGGGAGGGGTCGTCTACAGCGTAATCTGTGGCTTCCCTAACTAACGGGTTTTCATGAGTTTCCGTATTTTCAAAAACTCTCTGATTTCTCGACTGGATGGACTGCCGAATGGAAGGCAACTGCAAATCTCTGCGGATGGCCTCATTCCGCACGAACCAAGGAGCATTCACAATCATCCTAATTAACTTATTTTGCAACCTTTCCAAAACGGAAATGTTGGACGGAGCCGCTTGTCCCCAGACGCCTGAAGCATACATGATGACAGGCTTGAACATCGTGTTATAGATGGTGATTTTATTCTTCGTGCTCATTTTAGATTTCCTATTGACCAGAGGGTACAGACTAGCTATCCGACCCTCGATCTTTGACTTAACGCACATGATGTGCGGGTTCCAAGTGAGCCTACGGTCTATTAGAAGGCCGAGGTACTTTACCCGCGCTTGCCATTCAATCTCCCTTCCAGAGATTCTCACTTTTCTGGCCGGAGAAGATGGTTATCGCCTGAGTCTTTTCCGGGTTTACTCGGATCTTCCAATCGAGGTACCAGCGCTCGAGGTCGTCCAATGCACGTTGCATGTAGACGACGCCGAGCTCTCGACCCATGGAAGATGAGAGAAGAGCCGTGTCATCGGCGTACAGGGATATCTTCACTCGCTCGGACCTAGGCAGGTCGCTGGTGTAGAGTGA